GGCTGGGAAGGACAGGTCTAGGTAAGATAGCTGAATGAAGGTTCCTGAACAGGGAAGCACTATGAATGAGGGAGGGAATGGTACAGCGTAGGGGTACCTCCATGTCAAAGATGGGCAGAGCACTCTTGTTCTTAACAGCAGATGAGACTGGGTGATTTAAAAGGCACTTTCATACACATTCACATTCTAGGCATTGAGCAAAACCATGATACGGGATTGCTATTACCATTTTACAGAGAGGAAACTGAGGTTCAGTGACTTTTCCAAGATTGCATATACATAGTTAATGTGAACATAATCCAATTCTTCTCATTCTAAAGAGCATACATTTTCCAATACTATAATTTTAAAGGCACACAAAAAGCAATTATGACTAACTTGTAGCTCTCAGAAGGAAGCTGTGGAGATGTATGGAAATTCCAAATACTCAGGGGGTTTTGTAGTGGGGATTTATCTTAGGATAAAATAGGAAGTAGGGGCACAAAAGGCTTCACTGTTTGGGAAGATCAAGTGATTACCAGGTGTTAATAAATTCTAAACATAAAGAGATTCAAAAGGTGGAAAGTCTTTTGCCATTTTTATAAGGTTATTTAAAAAAACATTAATGATGATACTACCTTCTCCTCTTTTTCTTCTTTCTCTCACCGCCCTCCTCCTCTTCGCCTTCTTGCTCACTACCGCTGCCCTTCCTTCTCTTCTTCTTTTTGGAAATAGGTAGGTCATCATCGGTGTCATCATTGACAAATTCATCAAACTCTCCTCCCTTCTTAGAACGCTAAAATCCAAACAAGACTACAATCAGTTATTTCCTGGCTGGTGGAATGTGGCTGGAATGCTAAGGTATAAAAAGACGCAGTATTCTATCAGTCATCTGACAAATGAAGGATCTTTCACTAAGCCACGTAGAAGAGGTGCATGGCTAGGTCCATATTTTAAAGACTTTTAATTGGGATGAATGTCTCAATCAGTTAAAACACAGCAAAAATCATCAACAACTTAAGAAGTCACTACAAGGCAAAATGTATTTAGCTAACCTTGGAATGCATTTCTAAGTATGAGAGTACTTCAAGAGTTCATAGAAAAAAATAATTAAATGCTAATATGAATCTTTCCATGAACTTTTTGAAGTACCCTCATATTGGATACCATTTAAATCACGGTCTGTGTTGGAACACTATCTCTCAGCAAAGGAAGAAGTCGAAGCTAAGAACTAAGTACAGAGTGAACATAACCAATTATCTTCATTTCTAAAAGCCAAAAACCAGGGACTGATGTCATTGTTGCTAGCAGGAGTCACATCTTACCCGTCCACCACCACCACCTCTTTTCTTCTCTTTTGTTGCTTCAGTCTCACCAGTAAACATAAGAATATTTTTGGTCTTCTCCACATACTGGGCCCGCTGTTCCAAAAGTTTCTTTTGCTCTTCCTTTTCTCTGAGACGTTTCTCTTCCTATGAGGAAAAAAGATAGGAAAAAAAAAAA